CATTTCCCATTTCATATTCCTGATTATCCGCCATTATTACACTTCACGAAGAAAATACGTCTACCCTGAACGACCTCTGACGATGAAGAGGCAAGCGAGACCGCAAGCGTTCGTGGCCTACAGAAACATTAGACTCGCTCTCTGTATCCCGTGCACCAAACGATAACTGGGTAGCTGGCCAACCAACCTATTACGCCTGCCACAAAACGATTATTGAAAGTATCACTGCGCCAAAGTCTGACGTCATGAAGAAATAGTTCTGAAAACACTATTTTTTACGCGCATAGCTTTCCAGTTATGCTGGAGCTTAAAATAAAGCACGAAGCAAAAGTAAATGTTCATTGAAGCAATATTTATTTTGTATTAGTACAAATCACCATTGTAAAATAAGATTAATTTACATTGCAGAGTAATCTCCGATAGTCAAACTTGTATCGAGGGTTACTGTCCCGTAAAGTCTCGCAGTGATATCGACCGAAGTTTCAGGGGTGTCAACTGCCTCCATCATCAGGGTGATCCTCACCCAACGTGCAATATCACAAAAGGCAATTATATTTATACTAGCCGCAGTTTTCACCTGAAATCTTACATTACACTTCTCGAAACGTTTTAAACGTAATTATTGGATGATATTCTTATTTCTTTGAAAAGTTCAGAGAGATATCGCATTTTTAAGCCAAGGCACTAGAGGTTAGTAGTCAAGCTTCACGACCCGGCCACATTTCCACCTTGGTACCCACTGGGTAAGTTCCAGTTGCCCTTGCGACCAAGGAAGGACGTGTATTAATTCGTTACTCTGCCAGTTTACAAATTTCTTTTAAAAAAAATTACATTTGTCACGGCAGGAAGTATGAAGATGACCGTCTTATGCGTTGTTTGCGCCGTCTCATAGACTGATTGTGTGCTGCTGACGCCTCCATATTTAGGGCAGGGTTGTGGTACATATTCATCACCCTCATCACGGAGGCAGTAAGTACTGCTAAACGTCGTTCAATATTTACCAGAGTGCATGGTGCTGTGTCCCGGAAGACAGTCATGTTTATTCTTGTCTCTGTAAAAACATCAAAATCGTAAGGTTTTTGGCTTTCAGCGATAGGCCGCGTTGAATGTTGAGAATTATTCGACGTTTCGACAAACATTAGATTTGTCATCGCAGAGAAACAATAACATGTCAACTGCAATATCTGTGGAAACTGTACAATTCTCAATACGCCACGGGGCTCAGCCCCACAGAAAACGAAAGTTCCAGTACATTGAATTGCAAGGACAACAATCAGATCTTTGGCTTTGACCAGTACTCATATAACCTGCAGATGATGACAACAGACGCCAGCCAGAATCAAACAAAAGGCTTAACCCAGACGGATCAGGCTTTAAAGACTTGGGTCATGTAAGGCTTCTGTCTTTCTAGGGTATTTTCATGTTGAGTCTGGAAGACTATTCTATTGTGAAACAATGGAAACGTATTGACCTTTTTGCCGAAAGGACTCGGTTCAAGATGACCATATTCTGGAATGTAGGACATTGCAGTCTGGTATTATTAACGTTTCAGAGGAGATTAGGGTCACTTTCTTCGAGTACGTACATGCAAATTTCACGATTGCTTAAGGTACAATTTGGCTGCACGCGACAGACATGCGACAGAATTGCGAGACCGAGACTGGTCGCTTCCTGTCTGCTCTCTGTACAATCGTATGAAGTACAATTACGAGCGCGAGACAAAGACAGGAGACAGAGACAAAGCACAGGTGACAGCTCTCGGACCAGTAGTGTCTCGCGACGGGCTCAGTCAGCACGTGTGTTGTTGAGTAAAATAATGGCAGAAATTAAATTTACTGGTGACCAAGATGAGCAATTGGTAGAATTAGTAGCAGAAAACCGACCTCTCAACAAAACAAAGAAAACAAACACTTTGCCGCATGTCTCGGTCGTCACCTCAAAAGTGTGTGGCGACAAGCTGCGATGTGTCCGTCTCCCGTCTCTGTCGCCTGCCTCGGTCGCTTGTCTCTGTCGCGTGCAGCCAAATTGTACCTTTAGGATAAAATAGCCGCTTCCAAAACTTCTAACATTTGCCACAGAATACAAAAAAAAAATCTGCGAAATAATTTTGTCTTGTCGAATACTACAAAACGAAAAGTAGTAAGGACGGAACGCATGTCCTGCGTACCACATAACGGACAAGCTGCGATGTGTCTGTTTACCCGTGAATGGAACCCAGGAATCTCGCATTCCGTGTAGGCCCGCACCCCACTGAGGAAAACCGGGACAAAGAATATCAGTCAGGATAGCCAGACTTTGGGCCGATGTTTGAACCCACGACCTCTGGAGTGTGAAGCACAAATTATATAACCACTCGACGGCGTCTTTAGTATTTTTGCATTCTGATACTGTGTGATATAACCACAGTCAGAACTCTATGGGCCACGATGACCTCAAATTTTGAAAATGATCGAAAGTCCTCTGTGGTGTATCAACTCAGAAGACAGCCATCTCAGAACCTGTTTACCTGGCAGGATTGTAAGGACAAAGGGTGTTTGGGAAAATCCGTTTTTAGAAAATACAGTTATTTTGGTAGAAATAAATAAAATTATGCAGCGTTGTCAGTTTGCGTGATATAATTTCCTAATTCTTAATGTCATGTTACAAAAATTATAACTTAGCGAGGCAGAGATGTTTATATTGTAGTTAACGAAATGGTCAAGAAATTCAATGATTTTGCTTCCGAAAGTTCATTAACATGTCAATAAAATCTCTCAATCGAACATCATTCTGAGCTACTTGAATCAAACCTCCACCGTAACTATTTCTCTAAAAGACCAATTAAGTTTCGCCCTCTGAGGTTTCTACTATCTTCATGTTCTGTCATCTGGCTCTTGGCTATGGTGCCATAAAAGTCGATGAATTTCTTGAGTAGGTGAGTACCTTCTGAAGATGCAGTCTTGCCCTGTGTCGTGGTCAGTCAGGCAACAACGCAAGGCTTCGGTTTCTTTCTTGTGAGTCAAAGGTTGATCTGGCCTTTCTAAACAAAAGATCTTTGCTTTATGATTGTTGGCGGGGATTTCCAAGTGTCCCTGTACCTGCTCTGTACCACCCTTGGTTGAAGGTACCTGGCTCTCTGGTTCTGATGAACAGCGCTGGTATTTGACATGGTGGTCTCAGGGCACAATTTCTATAATGTTTAATGAGATGGAAAAATATTAATGAATTGTGACTATGTAATTCGGCTACGTGACATATTTTCGTATAAAAACACCTCTGAAACGTCGGTAAACTTTGACCAGTGTTCAAACTAATCACCGTGAGAACAATAAATATAACGTCGTGATCTGTTTTAAGGCATCTCTGGTCATTTAATAATAATTAAGAGAAAAACTATGGAACGGTTCAGAAAAAGCATTTCTGCCTGTTGAATTGTACAGTAACAAAGTTTTTAAAGAGGTTAGGAATCGTAAGGGTCATTAACCTATTGGTTTGAGCGTCGGGTAAAGTCTGCAGGTAGAGGGTATTTCTGGAATATGAAAGCCACTCCCCAAGTCTATTGTTTTTTTTTGAATGTGTAACCGCCAACTGACCGAAACTTTTACCTGTTACTGTGGAACAGGCAACCCCCCCCCCCCCCCCCCCCTGCTTTCCAGGAATACATTCCCGAAATAATTTTGAGTCAGGTCATTGCCTCTGATAACAAATGTTCACTGACATTTTAATGGATTTGGTAATTAACTAACTGAAGAGAACTGTCTTCTGAAATGTTGATCAAGGCAGGGCAGAATAAGTTTTTTGACATTTCGGAGGTGCTTACTGCTTCCATTTTCAGAGCGATCGTTGCAGCGAGAAATTAAAATTTGACTAACTAATCAACTCCATAGAGTGAAGCAGAGTCCTATTTTAGAAGCTAACAGAACGTTCAGCTGCTGAAGATATCCTCTGACTCTTATGGAACCAGAAGGTTCATTACTGTGTTTACAAAATAAGTACACGAAATAATTGAATATTTTTTTACATATTATGTTGGCTTAAATTGCTAAACGGTAACCAAGGAGCAGTTAACAAGGATCCTGGAAGTGGATGGTCTTATCTCCATGGTCTGCAGTCGGGAATTCGACGTCCCAAAAAAATGTTTCAACGAGGTTCAAGAGACGAGGTAGACTACTGTAACGAAAACGGCAATTGTAAAATACGAACAATATTTATCAAATCTAAAACTTCTTGACGATGGTGAAGAGTCAATTGAATAAAAATTTTCTTGGATATTATCCATCGTCTAGTAAATATAAAACGTAAAACGACGTTTCGGAGATGGGACTCTATCTCCGTCTTCAGGTTCCTACACAGTTGGGCCCACTAGATAGATTTAATCCCTATCTCGTTTTACGTTTTATATTTACTAGACGATGGATAATATCCAAGAAAATTTTTATTCAATTGACGAACAATATTAAAAAAAATACAAGAAAACAATATATGACTATGGGAATATGCTGTGTGTGTGTTCTAGAACACGGCGTTGATGAGAATATTTGGATGTAAGAGAGAGGAAGTAACACGATGTTGCAGAAAACTACATGACAAAGACCTTTTTAATTGGTATTCATCACCAAAATATTACTTTTGGCCCAGTTCTTGGATAAAGTTAGATGACTGACCGGTTCTACACAAAACGTCAACATTTACCTTCATGAATATTGAATTAAATAGATGTGGCATTTATTTCGTTATGCGTGCCTCCATTATCGATCGAGTCTTGTAATTAACCATCATGTTATGAGCTTAAATCTAGAAAAGGCAACATTACATTATTGGAAAATGTATATTAACTACAGAGGTTTACAAGTGTTTAAGATGTCCTTGTTGCCTCCATCATCAGGACAATGAGTAGTCTGTAAACTTCTATCAGACTACGTGGCGCTGCACTCCACAAGGCAGCCATGGGCGTAAACAGGATTTTCATAAATTGGAGATGACATGAAAATATAGACTAGAGCTATTACTTTCACGAGTATTTTTTCTTATTTTATGACAAAGTGTCAACCGCTCCTTAATTCATTTGGAGCCTATACATAAATCCTTGCCCTATAAGTGTACAGGCTTATCAAAACAAAACGTAACACATGTTAAATCCACCCTTTGACAATAAATTAGCATGTGTGTTACGAAGTATAAATACGAAACACAAGATATTACATTTTTCTAACAATAACGCTCAACTATAGAGTTTCTTATAAAAATCAACGGCACTGCTTTGAACAAATCCCCTCTTCTCAAAGTGCGGGTGTTACAAAACCAGATGTTGACATTTATCATATTGTGACGTGTTGCGGTGAGAGCAGCATAACAATGTCAATAAACAGTTTAGTTGTCTGTTTATTGACATTGTCGCGTCTGGCATTGTTGTCTGTTTATTAACATTATTGTATTTGGCATTGTCGTATTCGGCATTGTTGTGTCTATTTATAGACATTGTTGCTTTTGGAATTGTTGTATTCGTTTATAATTGTTGTGTCTGTTTATTGACATTGTCGCGTCTGGCATTGTTGTCTGTTTATTAACATTATTGTATTTGGCATTGTCGTATTCGGCATTGTTGTGTCTATTTATAGACATTGTTGCTTTTGGAATTGTTGTATTCGTTTATAATTGTTGTGTCTGTTTATTGACATTGTCGCGTCTGGCATTGTTGTCTGTTTATTAACATTATTGTATTTGGCATTGTCGTATTCGGCATTGTTGTGTCTATTTATAGACATTGTTGCTTTTGGAATTGTTGTATTCGTTTATAATTGTTGTGTCTGTTTAATGACATTGTTGTATTCATTAAGATATTTGATGAATTTATACGTGGATTTACACAGTTATAGAGTAATTCAGGATAGTAAGTCTCACGTATAATAAAAACTTTATAATTTGTACCCTTTAATAAAAATTAATGGAATAATCAAATCAAATTGGATGAGGCTGTCGTTGCGCGGGAGAGATCAAAAATGTGTACACAATTTCAATAGGGAAATCTGAAGGGACGATACGTCTTGGGAAACTCAGACGTAGATGGGATCAAAATATTAAAACAGAACTTAAATAAATAAGATGTTTGTGGACTGTATTTCTCTCGGGACAGATACGAGTTGTGAAATACGTAAGAATAAAAACATGAGAAGCTCACACACATGTTTTTTCGCCCTGTTACTTGCCACGTGTTATCCGACAGATTCACCGCAAATCACAAGGTTCTAAAGGATCTTCAACAATTGCCCAACAAAAGAAATGCGGAATCCACAATAGAAGATCTTGTCCGTGGATCAAGAGGATGAGTGGGAAAGAAACCGAGATAAAGAACAAGAAAGGAGAGAGACAGAGAAAGAGAGAAAAGAAGAATGGAACGGTTTGGTAACAAATTGACGGATTTGTGTGGCGATGGAGGGAGATAAATTCGGGAGAGGGGAGTTGAAATGTCGGCGACAAAGTGTACCATGGTGCTGACGTCTTCCCTGACTGGGGCTTTTCCTTTGTCAAATTGCGACTTCCCATCGGTCACGGTTCGTCACCTTAAAGCCTTACTTCTTCCTACGAATACCGCCCAATTCACACACACACACACACACACACACACACGTCGCAAGCCCGAACAACTAAAAGGACAGTGACCAAAAACAGACGACGTGAACGAGGTACTTACTAAGTTAGTCTGCTGGTCATTCGATCAATCTGTCAGTCAATGAATCGACGAGTTTTTCAACGTATTAGTGTCTCACTGACCAGTGATGCTGATCTGTTAATTAATTAATCTGTCTCCTAATCAATCAGATTATAATTCATATAATCGATCAATCAGTCAATAGATCTGATAATCATTCGATTCATGAAAATAGACCAGACCGTAGCCTGAAGAAGACTGTCTTCTGGGTTGTTGCGCCGTGTAATGTGGTAGAAGTTTACCGACGTTTCAGAGGTATTTCCATCTTGCTTGCTGCTTTCATCATCATTTTTTTGTTTCAATTCACTCGTGAATCACTGAAAGCAGCTTAAGATCAGTTTACATTCTGCATTCTCCAATCCTGAGAAGTGTATCAGTAGACAGGCTTCCGTTTTAGGTAGGTTTCGCTTTTCAAACTATTTGCGTGTCCCTGTGGAGTCTTCAAACCTTGTTCAGGTCGGAATTTTATGTGTACAGCAGACCGCCCAGGTTTCATTATTCGCGGGGAAAAAGAAATATTTTTGCATAGCGACTTGGGTTCTTCGTTTTTTTTTTGCGATCAAACCTTGTTCAGGTCGGAATTTTATGTATACAGCAGACCGTCCAGGTTTCTTTATTCTCAATGGCTGTTGCGCAGGCGCAAACTGTAATACGTAACAGCCCACATCTGCCCGTACCACGTGCCACACCTGGTATACTTCGACTGTAATTTTAGCATTTTTATAACTGAGTGTCGTCCTTTGTTCTACCACCCTGACAACGTTCAACCAGGAACGCCTACGCAAACAAATTTTTCGTGTCTTTTAACCAGTAATTATAATTGTCAAATGTCATGTTAAATGTGTTTTTGGTTCCCCTAACCTCATTCTTCATGTAAGTTCTGAACTTCGCTTTTCACCGCGGTTTCTCGGTACGCGGAAATTTCCAAGATCGTATATCCCGAGAACGACCTGTGATTTCTATTTCAGTGCCGTAAGTTTTAACCTCCTCCCTCTCGCTTCGTATCCACAATGAGCCATCCTCACTTATACATTGTCTGAATTATTCCTGTCACGTGGTCGCACCAAAATCAACAGCTCATTCTATAAATTAAGCAATACTAATCACCCCTGCAACTCTTTTTTCGCAGGGTGACGTACTGAAGTCCGTGCATGTAGCATGGGGGTTGGTCACTTGACCCCCTGACATTGCCAGTCTCTGGTCAATAAAACGGTGGGGTCTCGGGTCACGTGGGAGTGAAATATATATATATATTCAATGACGTCATGCAGTCTGTACACCTGTCAGATGTGTGTACTGTACTCAGCTGCAATACCACCTTAATAAATTTCGAAACCTGAAGACAGCGTAAAAAGTAACTGGAGTACAGTTTGTCTGTAGGCAAACAGATTATAAGGACAGAAATGCAGTCAAGTATTTAAAACACTTTATAGAAAATAGAGCAACGCCTGTTTCTTAGTAATCTGTGTTGTGTGGAGTACAGTCGTGAACAAGCGTGCAGGAAACTTACGGCTAAATGCGAGTCACAACCGACAGCACATCATGCAACACAACGTGATCATAATAAGGGTGAGTTCTTAGGTCCGTGCCTGCACGAGTAGCCACAGAATGCGATATTTTGGATCTTCCAACAAAAACACCACAGCATTCATCCTTCATATTCGAGAGGCCCTCTTCTCGAAAGTTGGATATTTTCACTGAAGTCTTCACGATTCAACTCAAGTCCACGTTCCTCAAGGCAAATGCTAAGGTAGATTCTTTCTTCGTTCATTAACGTCAGTTATTCATCATCCGAATAGGTCACATAACATTAACACGAGATTAAATTGAATAATAAACTTGGAGTGATTTGCAAGAACTGATACTACTACAATGTATTTTTATTCCAGGGGTCCTTCACCAGGAAGACGATGTTTATGTCGATGTTTGTCTTCTGGACTGCAACGCCACGTGGTCTTGTAGGTAGATACCATCATTATCATAATCATTATCATCATCAACTAAGATGATTGTCTCCTGGGTTGTAGAGCCATAAAAGTTTACCAACGCTTCAGAGATACTTGCTGCTTGCATCATCAGGGCTATGATCACCTTGATGATGGAGGCAGTAAGATACCAATAATTGTCTCAAGAGGAATAAGTGATTTTGTATTCATGTCGTATTATAACAAAACAATGGCAGGATCTTGCGAATACGTCAATGATCCTTTGGGTCCCGTTAGAAGTTGGGAATTTCATCACTAACTGAACTGCTGTTAAGTTCCTCAAGAAGGACTCTTTTCCATAAAGTTACTTACTTGTATGAAAACAATCTTTAAGCGCATTTATTATTTACGTCATACACATGAAATAGAGACATTCAAAATATAAGGCAAAGTTTTATTTACAAAAAAGACTTGTTCATGCTCTGTTCCGTAACAGTACTTAGTACGTCTGACGAAGAGTGCCGCTTCAATCTTTTGATCTCCAAACCATGAAAATCTTTGCCCATGTCTCAATTCGTAGCAGAAAAATGAGATGAAGACAGAAATAAGGAATTCAAGAAATACATTTGCATGCAAATTGAATATGCAAATATAACTAATTCTTTCCTGAAGCATCCTTTGCAGGAAGAGACATTTCTTTAGCAAATGGAAATTTCAATAACGTGTTCCTTCCATACTGAAAAAAAAACCTTTGAAAAGCTGTTGCATTTTTCTGTGATAGATTCCTTAATATTCTGAACATAGAAAAAGTCGCCAAGAGTTTGTATCCCGTGTAACCTACGTAAATGTCGGTCGATGATGATTCGGATACGTTTGAAAAGAGCGTCCAAAAAGTTTCTATACGTTATACAACAAACATTTTCTTAAATTGACATTTATTTACAAAATATATTGACCACTACTCCATTTTGCTTTTATAGCACACAACTGCCATGAATCCGTACATCCACTCTAGACAAAAAATAATCTTGTTTCCAGTCTCTGCAAGTTTGAGATTTGCAATTATGTATCTACCGAACAGAGAGTTTTTGGACATTCTGTATCTCCTCTCAGTCCTTACAGGGGTTACACAAGTTTCCAAGTAACTATTAAGCTTCCCCTCACATTTCTTTCGTCACTAGGCCTTAATCATCTCTAAAGTTGCTACAGCTTCTTTAAATAGCAAATGGCGTACAATATTTGGAGTGCTCAAAAACTTTGAGTATAGTCGCTAGTTTTCATTACCTTCATTGTCTTTGTTAATTGCAAAAATAAGAAGTAAACTGAGCGGTCCAATTCCGGAGTTTTGAAACCTGCCATGTGATTCCACTATCAGGACTTTGTAATTCAATTTCAGGAAAGCGAAAACTCTTAAACGCCAATACCAAGTTCATACGTAGGTAGATAAATGGTTTCAGATCGTACACAGGATGTTGTCAGTAATAAAGACATTCATTATACATGATCTATCGACCTGACATGAATTTTCATTCCATTAATGTTATACTAGGGGTTATGACCCTGCTAGCTTCCCTCGCTAATACCGCTGGGGGTTCCCAGAATTTCCTACTTTTCCTACATTTCCTTGCTACTTTTCCGTAATTCTCTTGCTGTAAATTTCCTCTACTTCATCTTAGGAATTTAACATATAATATATTTGGGAAGAGAACATGAGATAAATTAAAACATACTTAATACGTTGAGACTATTGACATATTATATCGACTTTGGTCATCAGAAGATATTCGACCAAACCGTTGTTTGTAAATCTTCCTATAATTTATAAGATTTGAGGTTCTCACAACAGTGAGTACGAAGATAACTGTCTTGTGGGTCCTATCAGACTAAGCGACGCTACGCACCAGAAGACAGCCATCTTCCTGTAATTTTGATTATATTTCTGTGCACAGGGTTTCTTAAAATTTCGTGTACAATTATTGTCAACCCAGTCCTCGAACTGATTCACTTGTACTGTGGAAGATGATCACATTCTTCGTCAAGTCAGGTGCCCAATAAAATTGTTTTACTCTTCCTACCAAGCTCTATGTTACGGACATTATCCTACATGAAGATTTCCGTCTTCTGGGTTGTTGCGCTGTGTAGTCTGGTCGATGTTAACCAACGTTTCAGAGGTCATACTGCCTCCGTCATCAGGGCGATGAGTATGAAGATTTCTGTCTTCTGGGTTGTTGCGCTGTGTAGTCTGGTCGATGTT